GCATAAATACCCTTGTCTACGATGCCAACACTTTTTTGACAAAGTTTTTCAAAAGCAACTGAGGTCAAGATATATACAAGTTTCTTAGTAAAATTAATGCTCCAACTGTTTTACCCAATGTTTATCAATATGACATGGGCGATGAGTGACGCAATAAAAGCATCTCTTTTCAATAATCTGTTGTGTGTGAAAAGAGTGGAGAGATTTGAAGTCCGGTCCTCCTTTATCAGACATGGGAAAGGACAGCGGAAACTTGGGCTCAATTCGACTTCAAATGCTACGTTTGCTCTTTAGTCAACTCATTACATTTTCACGCCCAAAGCTATAACGGCGTTCGTGTCAAGGGATTACGTGATCATGATCTAGTTTCTGTGAGGCCAAACTTCTTATCTTTTACTTAATCTTTTCCTGTTCTATCTCTCATTGTAAAACTTTCGTGTATATTTTGTACATATATTTCGATTTAACAAAATTTCTAAGCATGGTGATGGTGGCTTCTTACTCCGGGGAAAAAAAGACGAAGAAGGTCAAAAGGTACACCTAATTAGCTCCCCACTTTGTAGCCACTTGATGATCTAGTCAGAACGGGAACCGACTGAAATCTAGCGTCCATGTTGTGTGCGTGATGCATGAAAGTCTAAGAGCACACGTTGTGTTAGTTAGATTCATGCGCTATACGAAATAATTTATACTGTCAGACTTAAAGATAATGGTATAGCCCCCATATTACACTGTCAGACTTGGATTATGAATGAGTATAATTTTCCAAATGTGTGAGGACTGATTCTAGAAAGCTTTGAACTATATATTTAATAAAAGGATAAACGAATGACGATACAAATTAATTAATGGATAGAGAAATCAAATGCTAAGCCGTGAAAATGTCTTCTCAAAATAGTTGAGGAAGAGCCAAGCTTGTATATAAACAAATAGAACAGAGTATTTAAGCCTTCCCCGGTCTACTCTCCACCCAAGAAAATTGTCTTTACAGGATTTTAAATTAAAGCATGTATCATATCATACTCCATTTAAAAGTACGACTTCGGGAAAATCTTTAATATTATTCTTAGGTTTTATCATTCTATGATCAATATTACCCTTAGCTTTTTTTTAAATATTACATTGTTATCTTAATCTATTCTAATTATCCAATCTTCTTTGAATTGGTAATTAAATGATTTATTCTATTCATAATGAGACTTAACATGTTATTGGATAAAAGATACGTTTCATATAATTTAAATCTTTTACTTATTTCAGTTCATAGAGAAATCTAAAAAACATATGCTAGCCAGCTCCTAAAAGTTTTTGGACTTTGTAAAAAATATTCTCCAGGTTTTTTAAATTGCAAAAACACCCTTACAAATTCAAAATTTTATTAAAGCATCTTGAAAATTATAAATTTTACTTATTTTAATTTTTAATGAGAAATCTGAAAAAAAATATATGGTAGCTAGAAACTAAAAAAAATTTTACATTGGAGAAAATATCTTATAAGTTTTAAAACTTGCAAAAACAGCCCTAAAATTCAAATTTTATAAAAAAAATCTTAAAAATTTTAAACCTATAAACACACTAAAAACCTACAAATAACACAAACGATCTCCGAAAATTTATGAAATTTGCAATACGCACTCAACTTTTTACAAATTACAAAATAAAACCCTTAAAATTATAAAATTTATAAAAATACTGATAATTTCCAACCTAATAGTACATTGAAAATATAGGAATTATAAATATCCCCTACATAATTTATAATTTATAGAAAATACCATTAAAGTTTCAAAAATTACAAACAAACCTTAAAATTTAAAATTTAAAATTTACAAAAAACACCCTAAGAGTTTCAAATTCATTAGTAAATTGAAAGCATAGGAATTATAAATAGTCCATAAACAATTTACAATATGTAAAAAATGCCTATAAGTTTAAAAAAATTACAAAAAGCTCCTAAAATTCATAATTTATAAAAAAACACCATGAAAATTTATAACCTATAGACACTAAAATGAGTATGCAAAATTACTAACAACCCCTAGAAAAATTAAAATTTTATAAAAAATATTATATACATTTTAAAAGTATAGGTTTAGGAAAAACTTTTCATGGTAAATATTACCCATAACTTTTTTGAAAAGAACATAACTAATTGAAAATCTATTAAATTTTAAATTTACAAAAAAACACCCTTAAAGTTTAGTACATTTTAAATTACCGCTCCAAAGTTTGAAAATTTTCAATGATTTTCTGTAATTCCTTGATTTTAATGTAATGTTTAATAGTTTTGCGTATTTGTAAATTATAAAATTTTAGGGTATTTTTTATAATTTTTAAAACTTTTGAGGGTGTTTGTTTTGTAGTTTTCTAAATTTTCATTATGTTTTTAGTGTAATGCATAGATACGTCAATTAATGATGATATTGAAGAGTAAGTCGTTCTTAAGATTATTAGACCATAGTTAAGTGTGCACATTACTATTCCTAGGCAGTATAGTTTATATATGTAAAAATTTTCAGACAATCTATATCGTGGTTAAAAAGATTTTAATTTTAATGTACTATTTTTTATAAATTATATTTAATGTGAATCCACCATATAATTTTAACTATGGTCATCATAATTTTAATACATTTGATTGATTGACTATAAACGTATATATACCATAGATTACTTTACTTTCTCACATGAGCTAATATTGGTGCTTAATAATTTAAATTATTACTATTAAATTTAATATAAAGAGGATCTCTAATAATATTTATTTATTTACCTACAGCATAATACAATCTCACTTTTTATTTTTTGCTGGAGATTTATTCTATAGTTACGCGTATCAAATTAGTAACTAGAATAATAATTATTTATGCTTAAATTAGGATGATTGTAGTTGCTCGCTCACTATGGAATTTTTATGAAGATATATACCTTACTTTTTATAGCTATATGCACCATGTATAATTCATAAACTAGTAAATATAAAAGAATGTGTTAAGTGTGGATAAATTCTCTGTAGCCCTATTCGCACAGATATGCCTTACGTGTACTTCTTTCTCTTAAAAGAGTTTTTTTTAGGATGTCGATAGATCCCTAGCAATTTTATTGGTGATAGTAGACCCTCAATTAAAGGAGTTGAAAAATTTTACTGAGATTCTTTACGTATTTGGGTAAATACTATAGTAGGTCTATCCATAAAAAATAAACTGTAGGTAAGGGTGCATAAAAATATCTATATCCGAGAAAATATCAGTATCCATTAAGATGGTTACTAAAATCCATATCTGATAGGATATTCTGGATAAGGATATGTAGTGAAATATTTGGATTCATATCCCAATATATATTGGTCATACACTTGCACTAGTTTTAATATCTAGATCAATGGTTTCGAGATAAATATTGGGGATCAAAAGACTTAATATCAGCTTTTTAGGTATAACAAGCATATCAATATCAATGAGCTCTTTTGTATCATATGCACTATATTTGTTTCATTGTTATTATTTAGTTCTCATATTTGTTTTGTACCCGCATGTATATTCACTTATATATCTGTACCCATATTCGAATTTAGCAGATATAGATTCGAATTTTTCTTTCTGAGACATATCTATATTTTGTATCCATGTTCATGATTGGTAAACGGATACAACTATTATAAATCTTATATCCAAACCTTATCCGGACTGTATACATCCCTCATTGTAGGTTATCTATTTACAATTCGGTGATACTATAAAGGGTCTGTTCACAATTTAACACTAAAAGAATTAGTTTTTATAATGTATGATCATGCTTGGAAAATAAACCTAAAACATTGTTTGTACTCTAATAGTCTACTAAAAGTTGCTCTTTCCTCCAGTTGTATAATTATAACTTTTTTCTCAGATCTCAAAAATATTATTTTATTATCATTAAAAATTTTATTTTTTATCAAAATTGTAAGTCTAATTGGATATTGGGCATTTGCTTGTAAGAACTGAATTCTTAATTCCATGAATTTCCCATTTTTCACTCAACGACGAAACCCTGCTTATTTCTTTTTTTAGGATCTTTCGCAAAAGATAAAATAACATTTTTTTTCAAATGCACAAAAAAAATTTCCCAAGTTAAGAGGAGTTGAAATGGGCAGAAAGCCTGTCATAACTGACAAAAACTGTCAGTTTTGGCAGGCTTTCTTGTAAAAACGCCCCAAAAATAACGTTTTTGCAAGAAAGCCTGTCAAAACTGACAGTTTTGATCAGTTTTAGCAGGCTTTCCCAAGCCCTCTTCAGCAACCAAACGGGCCCTAAGAGGAAAGATAATTTAATACAGTTTATCTTTAAAAAAAAACAGAATTTTGAAACATTCCTCAAACGGAAGACGCTGGAGACATTTTCTTCTTTGTTACCCTTTTCTTTTCTTCCTCTCGCTTGCTTAAGGTTTTGAGCTTGGAAATTTCAAGATTATTTGTTTATACCATTTCCAAAATTTTGACCATCACTCTCCTTTCTCCCTCGTCAGGAACTCATCATAGCGTACTGATTCAAAGGGATCGATCCAACCACAAACATGATATTATGAGGGGGCTAAAAGCTACGTTGTCAAAAGTACCCGCTTGCGCCTGCTCGTGTCCTACACGTACGGCTACACCCTAAAGAAGTGATGCTATAAAAATCACAAATAACACCAATATGTTTTAACTTTCATTCTGTTGAAAAGTGATGGAAGACTTGCTAATAACACTAGGCAACGAAAATATCCTCTCCCGTGCATGTCTTAATGTTAACCAGCTCTGTTACGCTCTACACATAATGAAATTTAGTGTTATATATATACACGAAAATGAAGGTCGATACAAAGCTCTGTTACGCTCTACACATAATGAAATTTAGTGTTATATATATACACGAAAATGAAGGTCGATACAACAAGAATAATGTTTAGGATGGTTCAGTAACAATCAGAAAACACTGTAGCATGTTAATGTCTTAATGACTAGCTCTGTTACGCTCTACACATAATGAAATTTAGTGTTATATATATACACGAAAATGAAGGTCGATACAACAAGAATAATGTTTAGGATGGTTCAGTAACAATCAGAAAAAATGGCCTTACTCGTTATTAAGATGCACATAGCCTGCGGCGATTTTATGTCTCGCTTGAATCCCACAGGAGTTTTCGGTTGCTGGCTTGAGCTGGAGGAGCAAGCCCGGGTACATCAGGAATGTCCTTGTTAAGAGGGTTAATGATCTGACAGTTAAAGAAGAGATAAGTTAGTTCAACTGCAAAAATAATCCCCAAGAATAACAAGAACGAAACATATACGCACAATTCAGGCCGATCACTACATGGCCAAGTTATTGCATATATAAAAAAAAAGTTTCCGTGTACACAAGTGACTACATCCTTGTCATAAATGGGACTAAGTCATGAGATAGAATTTTGGAAAGCTTTATGTCTGATTTCCTGTCTGCGCAACAGTAACACCAGCAGATCTCACTGAAATAATAGTGCATCCTTGAATCATGACAAAATGAAAAAGCTCAATAACTTGGAATTGTACTTCCACCCACACAGAAGGAGAGAGGGAGCAGTGAGGGCAACTTTTTGCGGCATGCTAAGGCAAATGACGAATGAACTTTCGGCCAAAACGTGCAGGATGCTGGCAATATCTAATTTAGTTTGAGCAGAAAGAACTACCGGTTTATCAAAAATCAGTAAAGATAATCCACAAGGATAACCTTAATTGCCACTATCCAAGAGTTAAACTCATGATGCTGAAGATTGGAGTTCAAGGTAGAAAGAGTTCAGTTCAATCTTATCTTCGCTACGATGATCACCAGCTCAAACGTCAAGTTTGAAATAGCAGGCTGTACTCAAAACACGACAAAACACAGCAAATACAACAGAAAGAGAAGCCTCAAACGTGGCCAAAGGATGCGTGAATGTGAATAGATCAAGAAGTGCAACAGTGGCAAAAGCTTCAAACATTGGAAAATGAAGCATAACGAGCATTATTAGGTATAGGGATGTCCAACCTTCACAATGACAATCGCTATAATCCGCATTACAATTAGGACGAGCATGGCCATTATACAACGGTCAGTTGCAACCTTAAATAAAATAAACATTAAGAAATTACAAGTGAGGAGGCAGCCAACACAAAAAAAGGGAGGATACAAGCCGAGAAACTCGGAGAAAATGAATAGAAACCAGATCTTACAGCCTGACCTGCCTGCCAATTGCTTTCACTAGTTTAGGTTGCTTTCTTGATTTAGAAATGGATTGAGTTGAGTTCATTGACAATTCTGCTCATTTGTTGAGTCTATCAGTATAAACATGAACTAGTAAAATTTAGATCTAATCAAATTAAATTGAGACCAAAGAGAAAATAAGGATTTCTCAGTCCTGACACACGAGATACCTGTGCCTTGAGAGCAGCTGCAGTTTCAGCTCCAACATTAACTGTGTCTTCAACTACCTAGAGGAAAAAAACACGCAAAAATTAAACCATTTGAAAGAAAAAGGAAAGATAAATACCCACTACATAAAGCGTCTGTCATAACTGGATCCTGATATAGATCATGAACACAAGGTTGATACACGAGATGACATCAAAATCCTCAATCATTGTTTCTTAGTTCTGGCTATTGAAATATAAAACATACTTATAGTTGGTAACATAGAAATTTTCAATAAAATTATTATAGTGCAGATTTCATTATAAAAAAAAGGCTTCAACACCACGATCAAATTTTATACTGTCGTTAGACCTAGCAGATTCAGAATGAACTGTTTGTTAAAGTACAGAAAGAAATAGTTTCAACACATCAGATCTGTAGTCGGAAGCAAATAACACAAGAAAATGTTAAAAAGCATGATGCTTGTATGGAGAGATGTAAATCTAGATTGCTGATACAAAAAAAAAGGCATGGTCAAAATTTACCCAATGGTAAAACGAGTATCTTCAAGCCAAGAAACAAGATTACTCAAAATAATTGACACTGGCTAATTCAGAAATTAACGTTCTTTAATCGCTCAATAGCTTGATCTGTTTCATCCATCATCTTGTTACCATTATCCATCAAATGTTGGTCATATCTACAATAATATAGGCTTTTTATCAACAACAAGAAATGTCTACTAAAATAGTATCATCAATTCTTTTATTAAAAAAAGTACTAACATTAAATAACATATAAATGCATTGACTTCAATTCAGAGGCTAGTGGAGAATCACACTTGCTAGCACTGCCAAAAATTATTCCATGCACCCAGAAGATTTAGAAAGATCCAGTAAAGGAGAAGAGAAGAGGACGAAGAAAGGTTGAGCATTACACCACTACCGACACGGATACACTCACATCAACCGAGCAACAAGCATACACAATTGTGTACACACATGGAGAATATATTTATATATATATGAACATGTATTTTAAAACAAGGGAGAGAAAAGTGAAGAAGTTTGGTATTAACAAGGTTTTTTTCCCCGGTTAACATACAGCAATAAAGCAACAATAACAAAGCCTCTTATCCCAAAATTTTGAGGTCGGCTACATGAATCCTTTCTTCCATTCAATTGTAAATTCTTTTTCCTCTTAACATGATTGCATAAGACAAGGTTGCATTATGTTGAGAGCAACTTCCCAAAGGGAGAGCTTGGGGTTGATAGTTGTTCACGCTAAAACTTAATAAAATACTAATACTGCCAAAAACTACTGCCAACAATTTTCTATTGTATAATTCGGCTTTTACAACTTTTCCTTAAATTTGAGAAATTACCTTCGTTGACAGCTCCAAGGAAATAATGTTATTTTTCTTCACACAGGGCAATAGTGAAGAAAATGCTCTTCTCATTGTTTTAAGGCTAATCTATAAATAACTACCATGAGCTGTCATCTTTATTGCATAAAACTCCTTCCAACTTGTTTGATGATTCGTAACACCTTCCTCCAACTTGGCCTTAGTCTTATCTTCACGGTAATTCCTGTGATCTAGTCTTAATATCAATAAGCAGCTTTCCAATATTCAAATTTCCAATAAAAGCCCAATTCTCTCGGCCTCATCTTCACCTCATTATCAAATTGCCAAGAATGAAGGCAGTGAAGCTGCCAGAACAGTCATTCCCTCTTCTCTCATATTAACATATATAACAAATTTCGTGCATGCAAATGCACTAATCACTTAGGTTTTGCCTAATTAAGCATATCCTTGAAGGTTTCTCTTCAGCATGGAAGAAGGTCAAAGTGTCGGGTTAAAAAAATTTCCAGGACGGCTTCAGTGATTTCACGTAATTATGCTAAGCATGCAACTTACTTTCGGCCATAGCCTTCTGTGCCAGGAGCATCAAATAGATCAACTCGGTTAGCGTCAAAGATACCAGCATACCTGCAATAGCATGCACCAGCTTTGCCATCAACAGAATTGGAAATGGCATCACAATGCCTCTCAGGTAAATAGAAAGTGGGATATAGAAGCATCAAGTGTCAGATAATATTTAACTAAGGGAACGACGTCAGATAATATCTAAAACAAACTGCAATTTGGTTTCTGTTAGCAGCGTTTTACAAAATGATGAATTAGTTTGGAAGGATAACCTGTTGACCTATTTGAAATTTCTTCTCCAGGCTTTGATTGGATATAAGCGTTTGTTTCTGTTGGCTTTCAACTTGTTACTTAACAAAAATTTTCAGATATGCAAGGAGCTTGCCTAAGCAAGCAACTTCTAGCATTTCTTTTTTTAACTTATAGCTATATGCCAATGGAAATCCTAAATACGGAAAAGGGTTAAAGATTGATGTGTTAAGATAAAAAACAAAGTCATAACAAAGAAATGGACCATCCTTCAACTTTGATGCTTACACAATGATGATCACTTTTATTGTCACGTGTGAAACCTTTGTGAAGGGTCTTAAATGTCTTCAACAAACTATCGTTCTGCTGTTTTTCAACTTTGTGAATTATAGTTGAACCATGACACTAATGACTGAAGAAGTGGCGAGAGAAGTTCAGGAAATCAACAGGAATTAGCCAGGCAGACTGGTGGTTGACCGCGAGTCAGCGGCGGTCGACCGCGAACATGCACAGGAGAGCAAGAGGCTCTGGAGCTGAAGGCGGTCGACCGTGACGGTCGACCGCGCGGACCCTGTAGGCGATTTAACTCTCGAGAATTGGTTCGGTCGACCATCGCGGTCGACTGTGGGTTTCCTGTAATCGATTTATTCTCTGTCGGTGGTGTTCGGTCGACCACGTAGCGGGTTTGCAGTTGGGTCAGTTATTTGACCCGATTCATTTTGAAGCTGATATATAACTCTAATCTTGATTAGTTAGGGTTAAGCAATGACATTTTTGAGCAGTTTTTGGGAGATAATTGATGCATCCAATTGTGGGAGATTTATGAGAGATCTAGAGCTTTGTTTTAGGGTTTGATCGGTGAGATTTGTAACTCTATTTGTATTCTCTTGATTTCTAATAGTAAGAACTCCCTCCTCCTTACCTCATGGATGTAGGCAACTTGCCGAATCACGTTAAACTCGTTGTCTTGTTGTGATATTGTGTTTGGCTTATTAGTTGTGATTTATCTCTTGTTCTTGTTCGTGTCGCTTTGAGGCTTCCGCCGCGCACATCAATTGGTATCAGAACTTCAGGCTTGTTTGAAGGATTCGGTGAAGAATTCCTATCTGAAGAGTTAGATCGATAATATGGGAGAAGCAAACACATCAGGTTCGTCTCTTACGAAAGCGATACAGAGTCTAAGCATCAATAACACGAAGATTGATGTTCCGAAGTTCGACGGTAAGATTAATTTCGGATTGTGGAGGTGTCAGGTAATGGACGCCTTGGATGCACAGAATTTGAAGGAGACTCTTGAGTTACAAGAGAAACCCGAAGACATGGAGGATAAGGTTTGGAAGAAGATAAATAGTAGAGCTTGTGGAGTTATTCGGTCATTCTTGACGCCGGATCTTATTTATGATGTTATGAACGAGACGTCGGCGAAGAGAATGTGGGAAACACTCAATGAGAAGTATCTTACTAAGAGCATTGAGAATCGGTTTCATTTGAATAAGAGGTTTTACCAGTTCAAGATGAAGAGGGGAGTTTCCATCAGGGAGCATGTCAACAATTTCACAAAGCTACTTTCAGATATGACCAATGTGCATATCATGGTTGAGGATGAAGATAAGGCGATGTTACTTTTGTGCTCGTTGTCGGAAGATGATTATGGTACGTTCGTTATAACTATGATCAATGGAAGAACTACTGTTAGCTACAAGGAGGTGACCTCAGCTTTGGTGAATTATGAGTTGAGGAAGAGTGATGATGAACCCTCCGAGAAGACATCAGGAGATGCATTAGCTATTCGAGGCCGAGATCCAAACCGTCGCCAGTTCAACCGCTCAAAGTCAAAGAATAGGAGTGCCTATAAGAGTGTTGGTAGAAACTAATATTGGTATTGTAAAGGACATTGGAAGATTGACTGCCCAAAGTGAAAGGAAAAAACTGGGAAGAACAAAGAAAAAGATGTACAAGCTTCAGAAGTGAATGTTGCAAAAGCTATTGATGAGCATTCAGATTCTTCGAGCTATTCGTGTCCTGCACTACCGTCGGTTTGCTATGTTAGTTTCACGGAGTGGATGATGGATTCGGGAGCTACATATCACATTTACCCTAGAAGGGATTGGTTCTTCAGCTTTGAGGAGTTAGAAAGAGTGAATGTCGTGCTTATAGATAATGACCACGAATGTCCTATTAGTGGTATTGGTTCAGTCCGGATTAGGATACATGACAGAGTGATTAGGGAGTTGAAGGAAGTGAGGTTCGTGCCGTAGTTGACAAAGAACATCATTTCTCTTGGGACTTTGGAGGTAGCTGGATATAGAGTGATCTTAGAGGATACTACAGTGAAGGTCACGAAGGGTTCTATGGTGGTGATGCGAGGTGTCAGGGAAAACAACCTATACTACTTGAAGGGCAAGACAGTTACAGGGGATCTGGCAGCTTCTATCACTACAGAGAAGGACACTACCACTTTATGACACATGAGATTTGGACACACAGGTGATAAGTCCTTACAGTCATTGACAAAATAGGGGCTATTGAAAGTTGCTAAGACCTGCAAGATGGAGTTGTGTGAGCATTGTGTACTTGGGAAGAAGACTAGAGTGAAGTTTAGCATCGCTGTTCACAACACCCGAGGTACATTGGATTACATTCACACAGATGTTTGGGGTCCTTCCAAAAACACATCTCTTGATAGGGCTAATTATTTTGTCACTTTCATTGATGATTATTCCAGGAGGAATTAGGTATACCCTATGAAGCATAAATATCAGGTCCTGGATATTTTTATGGGGTGAAAAAAGAAAGTGGAGCTGCAGACAGGAAGAAAGGTGAAGACTCTACGTTCAGATAACGGTGGAGAGTACAAAAGTGATCCATTTCTGTAGTTTTGTCGGGATTACGGCATTAGAAGATACTTCACAGTTCGAGAGACACCGCAACAGAACAGGGTGGCTGAAAGATTGAACCGTACATTGCTGGAGAAGGTACGATGTATGATGACACATAGTAGATTGCCTAAATCCTTTTGGGCCGAGGTATTGGTTTATGTGAGCCATCTCGTGAATAGGTTATCCTGCACTGTGATAGACAGGAAGACTCCTTTGGAGCGTTGGTTTAGTTCGGTGGCTAGTGATTATGAGTCGCTTCGGATATTTGGGTGTCCAGCTTATTATCATGTCAGTGATGGTAAATTAAATCCGAGTGCGAGGAAACCTGTCTTAGTGGGATTTAGAGATGGAGTTAAAGGCTTCAAGTTATGGGATCCACAGGACAAGAAGATAGTTATTAGCAGAGATGTCACATTCGATGAGGCGTATATAATGAGGTCTTGAGTCCCTCAGCAGGTGGAGGGAGACCAGACAGTTGAGATATCACAGCAGGTGGAGGATGATGTGAATCCATCCACTCCAGATATCATTATATCCATCGAAGCTCCTACAGAGGTGACACTGAGAGGAGAGGAGATGACAGCCAGACAGATAGAGGATACAGTGGATGGTAAGACTCAGAAGCAGGATCATGTTCAGGAGTCCATTGCAACAGATAGACCGAGGAGGGTGATTCGTCGGCCAGCTAGGTATAATGATGTCATGGTCGCATATGCATTATCAGTGGAGGTCGTTGATGATATGGTTCCATCCATATTCAGGGAGGCAGAGTCTAGCCCCGATTCGATTAGGTAGAGGAAAGCTATGGAGGAGGAGATACGATCTCTTCAGAAGAACGACACTTGAAAACTTGCAAAGCTACCTAAGGATAAGAAAGCTATTGGTTATAAGTGGGTATATGCGAATGAGGGATCTTTTATTAAGGACATTTGGTCCAAAACCAGATTGGTTACCAAGGGATATGCACAGCTTGAGGGTATTGATTACAACGAGGTATTTTTACCCGTTATGAAGCATTCGTCGATTCGAATTTTATTGGCGTTAGTGGCACAGTTGAATTTGGATTTGGTCCAAATGGATGTAAAGACAGCCTTTCTACACGGAGATTTAGATGAGGAGATCTACATGACACAACCCTTAGGATATGGATGTAAAGACAGCCTTTCTACACGGAGATTTAGATGAGGAGATCTACATGACACAACCCTTAGGATTCAAAGCTGCAGGAAAGTACATGACACAACCCTTAGGATTCAAAGCTGCAGGAAAAGAAGAATTGGTTTGCAAGCTGAAGAAGTCTTTTTATGGTTTGAAGCAATCATCGAGACAGCGGTATAAGAGATTCGACAGCATCATGATTGGCCATGGGTATACGAGGAGCCCATATGATCCATGTGTTTACATGCACAAGCTACAGGATGGTGAGCACATATATTTACTTTTATATGTTGATGATATTATTTTGTGGGAAAATTTGCAATAAAAAAAATAAAGGAAAATTGATTTGTATTCCTTCGATCTCAATTACAATTTGGATTTCCTGATTACAAAAGAGAGAAGAATTAATCTGGATTCTCCCCTTTGTTTAATTCTGGGTTCTTCACGGTGACGATGAAATGCCTCCCTCGAATGCTCACGTCGAGTTTGCTCTCCGTTGACGATCCGACGTTTTGATTCACTGGAACGATATCTTCTCCTTACGATTCGACGTTGTGGAGAACTTGCGTGGCAAGTTTTAGACTTTTGATGAGTTGATAACTCTGAACGAGTTTGAAACTCTATGAAAGAGTTGATTTGAACCGAAAGTCGGTTAATCTGCCAAGGCTGAAAGCTCTCAAAACTGCTCCCAAAAGATGAATGTTGATCTCTCTTTTGTGCAGTTTTGATCTTCAAAACTCCAAATCGAAGATCCCCAAGAAGAAGCCAAAGATCTCCTCCTCGCTGCCAAGTCTCAGATCCAAAAAGTCACCCCGAACTCAATTGAGTTTACCCATATTTATAGGAAATTAAGGGGTGTAACCGCCCTCATTAATTCTCTCCATAATAGGGTTGAGAATGGTGTAACCGCCCCCTTAATCTGCTCCTAAGTGGGACAGAAATCCCTCAAATCGTGGAGGAAAAACAGTTCCTGCAACTGTTCAGCTCGTGTTTGAACGAGTCAAACGCCCACGTTGGCGTTCAGGACCCTAACTCCGTGTTTTAGAATGGAGACGCAGAGTTGGGTACTCGCTGGGTGTTGAAAAACGCGAGGGTCGCTCGTGTTTTGGAGTCTGAAGGTTGGAAACGCGGGGGTCGCCTGCGCTTCGTTTGCTGAAGGTTGGAAACGCGAGGGTTGCTCGTGTTTTGCTTGTTGAAGCTTGGAAACGCGGGGGTCGCCTGCATTTCAGGAATTGAAACGCGAAGATGAATTCTGTGTTTTAGAAGGAGCCAATGACTTATAGCTTCTTCTGCAGAGCGTTGCAAAGATTATTATCTTATAATCTTCATCTTGGCTCCTTGAAAATATGAGAGTCGTCAGATTGTAATCCCCGATGTTAATTGTGAAGGCTGTTGATTAAAGCTTTCATCAGTTGTTGTGAAGGTCGTCAGATTATAACTTTCATCAATCTATGTGAAAGTCTTTAAATTATAGCCTTTTGAAAGTCGTCAGATTGTAATTTCCATCATCGGTGTTTGATGGGGGATCAGCTATCTATTTTGATTTTTAGACAGCCTACAGATATACTTATTGCTTTCAGGAATTCTTCGACTATTCGAAAGTTAAAAGAGGAGCTGTCATCCGAGTTCGAGATGAAAGATCTTGGAGAAGCAAAGAAGATATTGGGTATGAAGATCGAGAGAAACAGGGTGAAGGAGAGATTGAAGCTTACACAGAAGAGCTATTTGCAGAAGATGTTGAAGAAATTCAGCTTTAAGGGCAATGCAAAAGTAGTTAGCATACCATTGGCTCCCCACTTTAAGCTTTCAACGTTGATGTCGCCTGTTTCAGTTGAGAACATAGATTATATGTCGAAGGTCCCATATGCCAGTGCAGTAGGTAGCTTGATATATGTGATGGTGTGTACGATGCTAGATTTGTCATAGACCGTGAGCATGGTATCGAGATATATGCATGACCCCGGGAAGGATCATTAGGAGGCCGTGAAGTGGATTCTACGGTATGTTAGAGACACCATGGATGTTGGTTTGGTATTTCAGAAGGATGAGAAGAATGAGCAGGATTGTATTGGTTACGTGGATTCAGATTATACTAGAGATCTTGACAAGCGTCGTTCTACTTCAGGTTATGTGTTTATATTGGCAGGTACACCGGTATATTGGTGATGTATGCTTCAGTCCACAGTGGCTCTCTCTACTACAGAGGCAGAGTATATGACGGTGATTGAGGCTATTAAGGAGGCATTGTGACTGCAGGGATTATTGGATGACTTGTGGGTCGCACAGGAGACCATTCAGGTATTTTGTGATAGCTTGTCGGCTATCTATTTAGTAAAGAACCAAGTTTATCATGCGCACACGAAGTACATCGATGTCAGATTCCATTTTTGTTCGTGATGTTTTGGATGATGATGATGTCATATTAGAGAAGGTCCACACGAACGATAACCTTGCAGATATGATGACCAAAGTTATTTTAGGTGTGAAATTTGGTCATTATTTGAGGCTTTTGAACATTCTTCAGTGTTGAGACCTTTGGAGGCCATTTGGGTGAACTACGTTCGGCTTGATTTCTTGGGCAAGAGGATACGTGGGCAGTCTTTCGATACAGCCAGTTTGATTCAGATGGGGGGAGATCATTTCAACTCATGTTTGATTTCTCGACTTGTTGTGGATTGAGTCTGTTGTCGTGGGGTGTTTCCACGACGTCCTGGATGCAACAAGTGGGACACTTGGATGATTTTGTATCGGCTCAGCTTTGGTAGAAATATTCGCCAAGATGGAGAATTGAAGAAGTGGCGAGAGAAGTTCAGGAAATCAGGGTGGTCGACCGCGAACATGCACAGGAGAGCAGGAGGCTCTGGAGCTGAAGGCGGTCGACCGCGCAGACCCTGTAGGCGATTTAACTCTCGGGAATTAGTTCGGTCGACCACCGTGGTCGACTGTGGATTTCCTGTAATCGATTTATTCTCTGTCGGGGGTGTTCGGTCGACCGCGGTACCTGCACGGTCGGCCGCGGTACCTGCACGGTCGACCGTCACGGTCAACCGCCACGGTCGACCGCGTAGCGGGTTTGCAGTTGGGTCAGTTATTTGACCCGATTCGTTTTGAAGCTGATATATAACTCTAATCCTGATTAGTTAGGGTTAAGCAAGGACGTTTTTGAGCAGGCTTTGGGAAAGAATTGATGCATCCAATTATGAGAGATTTGTGAGAGATCTAGAGCTTTGTTTTAGGGTTTGATCGGTGAGATTTATAACTCTATTTGTACTCTCTTGATTTCTAATAGTAAAAACTCCCCCCTCATTGTATCGTGGACGTAGGCAACTTGCCGAATCACGTTAAACTCGTTGTTTTGCTGTGGTATTGTGTTTGACTTATTAGTTGTGATTTATCTATTGTTCTTGTTCGTGTCGCTTTGAGGCTTCCGCCGCGCACAACAATGACCTTCTCAAAATAAACAAGGAGCGGTCTTCACAATATTCAAGGAAAACTGGCCCCCATTGCCAAAAAAAAAAGAGTAAAATAGAAAGGGAATAAAGAAACTCATCCACCCAGCTCCCAGAGAAATAATGAAGAAAAGCAGATCAAGCGCCACAGCAACAGTTGCAATATGGAAGTGAGTTTTTCTTCAATGTGCATATGAACTCCTAATTTGGTACATGATCTTCAGATGGAGCTCCTATAATGTTAAGATAAATCCAAGGAAGTGGTGCAAAACACAAAACTACTAGAATATCAAAATTGGAGAATTTCTAGGGCCGTGAGCAATTGATCTGAAAGAGCGAATACATTAGCTTGGAAAAATGTTCCATTGTAGAATCAACCAAACAAAATCACGGAGACTAAATAACTGTATGTATTCACATGAAAAAAATCATTAAAATGGAGATAAAAGAAATACAAGGACAAACTCACCGCTCCTTCAGAGCAACATATGAGCTCAACTCTTTAATCTGCAAAAGAAAACCAACCTAGCTAATATACAGCTACATGTGCAAGGATGTAAATATGAGCTCACATGTTTGGTTATATAGAGATCAAAGAAATTAAGAGATAATACAATACCATTGACTGCTTTTTCTCACTCAGCATTCTGCTGGTGTCAGCACTACTTCTGCCCTCCTCTGCCTTCGCCGCTCTATCAAACTCTTTGATCAACCTTCCGATATACAAAACTTTAATATCTTTATCACATCCAGTTAGAAAATAGTTCAAGTTTTGTGTAAAAGACAGTTTATTTTGATGGAAACTACAAATCGATGGTCCAATATAAGAAGAAAACTGCACCTCTTGCATTTTCGCATCTTTTCTGCGAGTTCTTCCAGCTGCCTACTCCGCTGGGTAGGGTCTTTGACCTTCCCCAGCTTCTGAAAGCCATTCCTGTTAGCAATGACAGAGAATTAAGATATCATTTTGCACAAAAATATTTATGACCCAACATCAGTTACGGCCTCCTGACATGGTTTAATTGTAGATACAGATAACATTTTGAAAGTAAAGTACACCAACTTATTACATGTGTTAATTATACAAATTTCAATACAATAAAAGTTTATGAAATTTCGATGTTCATGACTCAACTCCTCCTAACATGGCTAATAATCACAGAAAAGTTTGGATAACTAATTGCACTTAAGTGCCCAATAGTTTTCCTGTCCTTGCACTTAAATGCTCTGTCGTTTCAAACCGAGCAAAAAAAAGCCCCAAGTATTTAAGTGTTGCAGATGAATAGCACATAGTTAAAAGTGACCCAGACAATGTTATCTTTTCTTGTGTCACATAACAGAGAGCACTAAAGTGAAACTCTTAGAAACTTTGAGGTACTTAAATGACGCCATTTACAAACTTTGGGGCATGTATATGCGACATTGGGTAAACAATAGGACGCTAACATGTAACATTTTGAAATTAGGGGCATTTATCTGCAAAAAGTAAATACTTGGCGGTATTTTTTTGTTCGGTTTGAAAAAGGAGGTTACTTTAGTGCATGGTCGGGTAAACTATAAGGCATTTAAGTGCAATTAAGCCAAGCTTAAAAGTAAAGTACGCTTCTTAGACATTAAAAATTAGGGGAAAATGTGTATAGGCCCCCAAAAAATAAAGGGGATGTGACTCAGCCCCTCAATATTTTTCCCATGTTCTTTAACCCCAAAAAACCCAAAAAATGTGATCTGACCATTTTTCACACACTCCCATAAATCAATCCAAAAATGTTCCGAAAATACCACTTCCCCTTCTCTTCTTCTTCTCTGTTTCTTTCTGCTCCTCCTCTCTCCTAACTGCTCATTTCTCCTGTTCTTCTCTCCTCCTCTCTGCATCGTCGTCGACAACGGTCTCAAGATCGACGAGCAGCACCGTCTCGATCGCCCATTACCGCCGACGGTCTGTGACCCTAACCGACTTGATGCGTTCCAGCTCGTGAATCGGAGAGATAGTCGGGGGCACCGCGACAGAGTGCGTGGCGATCTACTGCTGCGTCCCCTGCAGCGTCATCAACCTCGTCATCTACTCGGTGGTGAAGCTGCCGGCGACGATCTGCCGGTGAGCGCACATGAAGGGCAGAGGCGACGGATCATCGCGATGAGGAAGAAGGTGACAATGGAGGTAACACTGATCTGGTCGAGCTTCGATCTTAACGACGGAGAGAGCGTGAGGATGAGGGAGGAGTGGGGGATTCCTGCGGCGGCAATTCCGTTGCCGGAGGTGGCAGCGATGGAGACACATTTCTCCTGTTCTTCTCTCCTCCTCTCTGCATCGTCGTCGACAGCGGTCTCAAGATCGACGAGCAGCACCGTCTCGATCGCCCATTACCGCCGACGGTCTGTGACCCTAACCGACTTGATGCGTTCTAGCTCGTGAATCGGAGAGATAGTCGGGGGCACCGCGACAGAGTGCGTGGCGATCTACTGTTGCGTCCCCTGCAGCGTCATCAACCTCGTCATCTACTCGGTGGTGAAGCTGCCGGCGACGATCTGCCGGTGAGCGCACATGAAGAGCAGAGGCGACGGATCATCGCGATGAGGAAGAAGGCGACAATGGAGGTAACACTGATCTGGTCGAGCTTCGATCTTAACGACGGAGAGAGCGTGAGGATGAGGGAGGAGTGGGGGATTCCTGCGGCGGCAATTCCGTTGCCAGAGGTGGCAGCGATGGAGGAGGAGATGTGGATGAGTTTTTACGAGACGGGGTTTTGGAGGAGTCTATCGCAAAGGGAAGATATGTGTAAAAGTAATTAATTAAGTTTAAAAAGAGGGGTTAATGGACAAATTTAATAGTGATGTTTTTGTGATTCTTTGTTGAGAAGAATTTAATTGTTATGTAGATCTTTGACAATGTACATAAATTTTTAAACTAAAAATTAATGTCTTTGAAAGACTGAAAGTCTCTTGAGATGATTTATCATTGATATATAAATCTGAGAGGCACCCGAATCTGAGTATTTTTGTTGATAGTGAAGATGATTTGAAGTGCACAGTAGGATATAATTGAAATAGTGTTAAGTATCATATCTATATGTTAACTTTTATCAGAACATGTTAACTATAATAGTTATATGTTGACTTTTAACAGAACGTGTTAACTTTCTTCCTAGTCTGTTAACTTTTCATACTGAATGTTAAATTTTGTTGTTTTATGTTAACTTTTATCCAAACCTGTTAACTTTCGCTGCTTTATTTTTGTAGAAGCGTTTAAAAAAAGCTATGACCAAGTATTTTATCTCATCCTAGATTATAAGTCTAATCATATCGTGTATTTAAACAATATCAGTTGTAAGAATGTAAGAATTTTATTATGATGAACGTTAACATGTTCAGTTGAAAGTTAACATGTAACAATGAAAGTTAACATATTATGATGAACGTTAACATGTTTAGCTGAAAAGTTAACATGTTATGAGGAGAGTTAACATATAATGATGAAAGTTAATATAATGATGAAAGTTAACATGTAACAGTTAAAGTTAACATAGAAAATATGTCATGTTCTTGCTGATCATGAGATTTGACAGCTGATATTGCTTGAAGGATATGTACAGATTATATACAATTGTATGAGATTTAATAGGGTAGCGTAACTTGAAGATTATGTACATAATATGTATATATTATGTACACAATAACCTCAAGATTATGTACATATTATGTACCATAATATTTAGGTTTTGATACACATAATTTATATATAATCTTCAGTTTATTATGCACATCAAGTTCTATTTGAATGAACTTATACATATTCACATGACAGCCATAATACATTTCACATACAATCGTAATAAATTACATCAAAATTGATCACTAAATAGACAATACATTTCATTAAATTTTGATCGAAGTACAACCTCATCCAAGCAATAACAAGCTTCATGTTCTTATTTATTCAACTTAAACTCTTGTTTGAGTTTGGAAATTACCTCATGACATCTCAGTTTCATAGTACTTTTCAATCAATTTATCCTTTAAATTCAAGCTTCTCCTCAAATTAGTGAGTTCTTCTCTTATAAGTGGAAATAACTGAGTTCCCACACTATACACAGGGTTGTCAAACCACTCCCGAAATCTACAACCATCATTCTGAAATTATGCACAAAAACAAAATTAAAATCAAGTTAAATCATGAACCATAAATCACAGCCACTTGAGCAAAAAATAATAATAAATCCAAGATTGCTTACATGAGGATTTTCATTAGTCATAAAAGTGTAATACTCACACTCTAAACCTCATGAACAAAACTCGACTCGAAGCCCCTATCCTCCTCCTCCTCCTCCTCCCCCCAGCTGCA